AATTTGAAACAACGCGACAGCTTGCACATTCTTTATTATGGAAAGTAGTACACGATTAAAATTCAGGAATTAATGGCAACCTAAAATCTTGCCACTCGACAGACGCCCTTAATAATGCAAAATGTTGAGCTTATCCATTTCAGCTATTGTGACTATGGGTAAATCTCGAGAAGCGAAGAAACCTCTGATACCGCAAAACCTTGACGATATTGTCGTTTTGGGAAGATACACTCTGTTGGTCTGCCTTCTGACAGAGTTCGCCTTCCTTTCACAACTTTCCAATACAATGTACATGGTTTACGCAGGTATCGTAGCTTCTTATCACCTGCTTATCTTCTTTTTGGTTTAACAGCACAAAGACTAAGAAAGCTGAACACGTGCGAAATGAAATGAGGCAGAAAAGTCGAAGATAGGTGATGTGAACTTGAACCTGTAGGGCTAACATTGTGGTTATAAAAAGTAACGCAACTTAAAGTCCTCTGTTTAGATTATTGACTAAAAATTTCGATTAAGAAAACTGGTTCGTTCAAGGTTCGTCACCAGCAATCAAAGGATGCGGGAACATAACATTTGCAAGCATGGATGACGCTTGCGCCAATCTCCATTCATGCGAAGATGCTCCATTGGAACTGGAAAGCCAGTTCTATTCCGTAAACGAAGAGGTATCATTCTAAAGTAATTAGATTGCAGTGATTCTATAACCCCCCTTTTTTCCATCTCTAAGCTCTCAAACTAATCCTAGAAACCAATATTCGGTTTGTAATTTATCAGAAGTGCGCCCGCTCGTAAATCACTGGCGGTGATAAGTTAGCTCAAGCGATAAAAAGATGAGTAATCGTTTCCGAACAGACACATTCCTTTAACTGTTAAAAGTATAATTGGAAATCTATCAAAATTGCTTAAGACTCTCTGTACTATCGGTATAAATGCGGAAAAATTATTCTGGGAAAATGCAGAAATGACTAGAAAAGTTGCTACTCTTTTCTTTTTCAATTGAAGATACATGGGAGCGTTCTTCCAAATGTATGGAACGTATCAACGGCTTCTGCAATAATCTTAGAGAATGACTGGAATTTCAGGCCGACTAAAAATCTGCGAACACTTAGCTAAACCCTCATAATTTTGGTTTGGGACATAATGTCAAGCGGTTTTGTAATTTCTTAAGGTTACCTGCGCTTGCAATATATGGACAAAGCGCACGTCTGCACATCGCATCATAAAGTTTTTAGCGTTACGTTCACTAAGAATCAAATTAATCTTTAAATTGCTATGACGCTCAAATGTTGGTCTTTACATATAGCTATCGTTGTAACCTCAGCGACGACCATTGTTACCGAATACATGGTTAAAAGCCATTGGCATCTTGCAGAGAACGAGAGTTTAAACGGAGGTACGTGGGACGACAAACCTGATTTAAACTCGCATGTTTTTGCCACTTTACCTCTCTGGCGT